ATGTGATTTGGGATCTTGGGGGCAGTTTGGGTGTGTTTCATTTTTTGCTGTTACGAATAATAGATAATTATATAAACTGTTACTAAACTTGTTTCAGTATTTTGTGCATGGCTTACTATTTTTTTTAAATATGCTGTACTTGTTTAGCTCAAGTCAATACAGAAATACTCATCCTATTGTCTCCATTCGACGGATTTATGCTGCTGCAAAATGAACCCAAATCTCAGCTTGGTGTTTAAGTGCTTCAAAATAAATCACTGAATTGCAGCCCTGGTATCTTTCTCCTTTGTCTGACTGTGCAGTGAATTCTCTAAGTCAGCAAAGTGGCTTTTTCAGCCTGACACCCTTCCTTGTCTTCCGGGCAGGGCAGATAAAAGGACGCTTTTGAGGGGAAATGTTGAAAGCTACAGCTACGTATACGTCCATCTGTTTTTGGATGTTTTGGAAACCTTCTGTAAATTGCTTTATAAATTGTTCAAATGAACACTGAATGGGAAACTGCAAGAAAAGTGGTTCAGCCGTAGACTAATGATGAAGGATTATGAATTGTCACTTAGCCTGAGAGACTGACATTTTCATCCAAACTGTCCATTCTGTTCAAATGTTTGGCTGAATCACTTCCCCAGGATTTCTTTTGGTGATTTGAATCTCTTGTTGGCTGAATTATTGGTGCTTCCTGTAGCATTTCAGACAAATGAGATTGTACTAAGGGGGAAAAAAGAGCTTCCACCATTCCAGTGGAGAATTTTTTGGCTCTGCAAACTTGTCTTTTCTCACTTCAGAGACTCTCCAAGTAACAGAACATATAACACAGACTTTTAATGCGCACATTGTTTCCAGCCTTCCTTCTAATGGCGATGCTGTAAATTGAACTAACCGTTTGGTCATGTTTTAATAATTAACACTTTAACACAAAAGAGTCTTTTTGGTATCCTGTCATTCATTGAAGTTTCATAGGTGATTTAAAAAGTCTGTTTTGTCAATCTGCTCTGTAGTTGTGAGGAAAGAGATTCTAAATTAAACCTAATGGGCCTTTTTAATTTTTTTAAAGGGCCTTAGACCTGATTTAATTTGTGGCTGTAATACCATGGTGTGATGTGTGCGATTTTACTGCCTCTCCATAGTAATGGCTCTGCTACAGTTGCAGTTCCCGTTGCAGCTGGAGGCGAAGCTTTGCCTTAGGTCACATTCCTGGTGCTGGAGGCACGGGCCCTGCTGCTGGAGGGATATCTGCCTGGTGTTGGGCCAGTGACACCTCCCACACCCCCTTCATTTTAATGGGAAACAGGTTGATTTTCCAGACATTTGGGTCTAAGGAATAGGTTCATCAAGGTGTGATGGGATCCACTGGCTAGGAATTGCACTTCCTGTGATATATTCTGGACATACTGAACAGATGGGTACCAGTGCAAACTTGGGGTGCTTGCCTAGTGCTTTCTTGCAGAAGGTATGATTTTGGATAGCAAAGAGATTCATACTCTGAAATGGTTCAACAGGTCTAAAGATATGTTCACATCACTGCATGTCAGACACATACCTGATGTACCTGGAATTAAGAGGCTCTCCTGAGCTCCATGTCCATAGTCAGCTGAGAGAAATCATGCTCAAGCACTTATTCATGCTCTGGAAAGAGAGAGAATTTACAGTAAAAAGAGGGAGACTCCCTTCCCAGCATAAACACCTGGCATGGGAGCTGCGAATACACTCCTTCCCTTGCTTCTGTGATTGAACAGAAGTGCTCTTTGCTCCATGAGTGAGATACGTTTTTATGAGACATAAACACTTTGTGTGGCATCTGAAATGGCTTTCCATTGCCAGCTTCTGTGTCCCTTCCTTCTTTCTGTATTCTCACTGCAGAGCTGAAAGAGATTCTTTGGGGTAGGCAGGTTTATGCTCCACTGTCAAGTGCTATGCAAAGAGAGATACCTGGGCTACTTTTGGACAGAGCACTGGGGTACTGCAGGGTGCCAGTGATGGGGAAATATGCCTGTGCAAGGCTCTGTGCTTCAGGTAAGTTATGGTGGTAGCCAAGCCCGTTGCCCTGAAAAGAGCCCAGGACTCTCAGCAAAGTGCAGCTTGTGGCCCAGATGAAATAGGTGATTTCACAAAACGGGAGATAAAATGAAATCCTGTCTGGAGAATGGTGTGGTGCTCACTGGTGTACTACCAGAGAAATAACAGCTCACAAAGACTTAACCCAGAAGAAAACTATTGTCAGGGTCCACACCCACAATATGAACCTAAATTGCCAAATAACCCGCTCTCCTTATGAAATAAATGCATAACCACAATGCTGCAATGGAACGGAAAAACAATTTTGCCCAGAGAATAGTGTTTCTAAAGACACACAGGGCAAAACTCAGAGCCCACCACACCCAAAGGTCAGGACAACAGAGAGAAATGAAAAGCCAAAAACATAATGCAACCTGGTAAAAAAAAAAATCTCAACACATACACACACATTACTCCCCTCCTTCCTGCCCTTCCTCACTTCTTTATTTTCTCATCCTAAGCAGATTTCCAGATAGCTGCTAAGCTGTATGGAATTTGTGAAGAGAAATCCAGATACTGGGCATGTACAGCACCTCTGCTTGTTGAAACAAGTCTCAAATCCTTAGTAATTAGCTCAGCATCGAGCATGTAGCCAGTTCTCAGGGTACAGAGCACTCTGGAGGAGCAGACCCTCATGCCTTGTTCAGCTGGAACTTTAGCGGAATGGTCAGCTCTCAGGTAGTTCTTTTGTATCACTTCTTGCCATTCACCCATTCCTGCCAACATTTCCTCTTGCAATTAGAGAACACATAGTTTAAATGCAAGTTTCTTATTTTTTTTCTAGCTAGCCAAGATTTTTCTTAATCCAAGATTATGTTACTGCTGGTTTTAGAATGTAACCAGACAGAATTTACTTGATGATTGGCATTTTTAGAAGTGCTCTCAATTGGCCTGCCAATTCTGCGTATGTTAATATGGACAATGAAATTCTTATCAGCTTTGGAAGCTTCAGCAATATATCATACAAAAAATCCCATCTTTTTTGTTCACAACTTCTTCTCTTCTCTTCTCTTCTCTTCTCTTCTCTTCTCTTCTCTTCTCTTCTCTTCTCTTCTCTTCTCTTCTCTTCTCTTCTCTTCTCTTCTCTTCTCTTTCTCTTCTCCTTTTCTTCTCCTTTTCTTCTCCTTTTCTTCTTATTCTGAAACAACCTTACACCATTTTCCTTCTCCCTAGTTTTTCCTAGCCAGTTATGAGGCTAGAGTGGGTGAGTTAAAATGCCACTATACATCAGTTCCACATACCACCACACCTACTCAATTGCCCCTGTAGTATCACAGTATTAGGGCTTTTATGCTTTTTAATTAGGAAGTTCTTATAAAATTTGAGCAGTTGTTTGGTTATGTTTTTAATATGAGCTTTGTCAAGAGGTTGAACTCTGTGTAGAGGTAGCCAACATAAACAGATGGGGCCATTTGGGTTATTTCACTAGGGGCCATTGATGGAGATGGTTTGTAAGCAATGATGACCCTGAGATAAGCACAGTCAGCATTCCCTCGGGAGGTGCTGACATGTGGGCAAATGTGGTGGAGGAATATTGCTTATTGTCATGTACCAGGAGGAACCAGGTGCTGGAGATCTTGTTTGTGATACACTAAACACAGCCTTTCCAAGGTAAGTTTGGTTATGAGGAGAGGTCACCTGATGCACAACTGACTGACAACTCTCCTCAAAACCAAAGCATTGGTCCTCCTTCCTAGCAAAGAGTGTCATCTTCCAGGGTAACAGCACAGTTGTAATAATGAATTAGGCTCCAAAGTCTCATTCTCCCTGCTGGCTAATGTCCTAGCACTGCAATTCCTGGGTAGCAAAAATCATGAGTCAGCTCCTTCTCCCTTCCCAGCAACTTGCTTGAGCCCAGTCAGGTCATGTTTTCAAATATTTCTCTGCAAACAGGAGGGATGGAAACTTCTCCTGCAGGAATGAAAGTTGAGGTTTGTGTTCAGTATCTTCGTTCCAAGCTGGGACTTGAATACCAGCTTTACATTTGTGAGACGCTGGATGAATCAGGAGAGCTGGTAGCAACAGAGAGTGTTTTTATGTTTTTTGGGTTTTTTAGTGTGTGTGGGGATAGAGTCCTATTTACACCCCAGGACTGAATGCTTGTGGGTTTGAAATTCCACCTCTGCTTTTGAAGTTCTTTCTACTCTGAAATCTATTTTGAAAATAAAAATAAGAAAATATAAAGTGTTTTTAAATGGCACAGCACAATGAACAGACGGTTAAAACCTGTCCATGACTTTTTAGCATAATTCACTAAGTGTAAAAGTGGGAAGTCAGTTTTCTTGAGCAACTGTTGGATGCTCCCCTCTCTTACACCAAAACGTTACACTGAGTGGAGAGAAAAAAAAGGAAAAATACTTCAGATGCAGACAGCAAGATGGTTTGGGCTAGCAAGAAGTGTGGCCATATGTCTGCTCAGAGGCAGGTGAAGTTAGATTTTGTGGCACAAATGAAGCGGCCTTGTTTGCAATATTTGATCAGGAGTGTCTAGAGCTAGTTCAGGTGTCTGTATGAGCAGAAAGAGAAAGGAAGGACGCGTGTAGGAAGTCTGAAATGTGACATTTTCATTCCTTGGCTGGGCAGCCTGCAAACAGCTGCTCCCTGAATATTCCTGTCTTTGACTCTTTAATGGAGAGGTGGTTGTACAGGTTCTTTTTCATGTAACTTTTAACCCAGAGAAAAGAGGGAGCAAGACTTCATGTGAACCAGCTCATCTTAGGCTGAATGAATAATGTAAGAGCACCATTGAGCCTGAAACATGTGGCATTGTTTACTTGTGTCACAGTAAATGATTCATGTGGAAAAGCTGCATTTGAACAAATGAGATTGATGAGATTTTTACAGGCTATTTTTGTGTAATTTAAAACAGTGCCTATACTTGATGGTAAAAAAGAAAGAGGAAGATGACACAGCTAGTGCTCTCAACTTTTCTCTTTCCTGATTCAGTCTTTGGCCATTCCCTGTCTCTGCTCCAGAAAGCCAAGGGTTCAGATGAAGATTGGAAGGAGAAAAACAGAAGACTTTGATCTTGATCACAGCGACAGATTCAGAGATATCTGAGTTTACTCTTCAGCATTAAACCTTGGGCTCTTAGACCAGGAAAGTTGTGTGGTGGTAGGTACAGAGACACCTGAGCTGGCTGAATGTGTGCTGGGGGAGGAAGTGCACAGATGAAATTTAGACACGTTTGGGCCCAAACAAACCAGGCTGCAGCGCTGGCACTTACTGTCTCCTGTGCAGTGTCCAGGTTACTGAGATAAGTTGCCTCTGGACCTCATCCTCTTAATGTGTATGTGTTTTGCTGTATACAAGGGTTTCTACAATCTCTCCACTCAAGTTCTTCTTACCCTCTAGATATGTCTTTAAGGTTACTTAAACCTCAAAGTTCAGTTTTCACAGTTATTTAAAGCAAAGGATAGGTTATAGATAAGGGTCTTTCATATCTTGGGAAAAATTTATAGGTGATAAATGTGGCAGTTCTTTAGGCATCTGTTAATATTTTATAGGGGATGTGGGAAATAACAGCAGTCAAAAAGGCAAGAAAGAAACTTATAATGGATGACTTCAACCAGAGAGCCATTTGGTGCTGATGTCTCGCAGCCAGTAACAAATTTCCTTAGTTGTTTCTATAAATAATAATAATGTTTTCTTTGCAAAATAAGAAATCCTGTATCTAGTATAAGGGAACCTGACAGTGGACTTAAGTATGCTGAATGAGAAAGTGTTAGTTACAAAACCCAAGAAGTACAGTTGCTGAGGTACCAGAGATCATAGTCAATTTAGATTTATTTTATAACAGTGAAATGGGGCATTGACCAAAGTCTGCCCATTTGGAACTTTAATAGTGACAGCTTTCCAAAGCTTAAAGCATTTGCTGGTATAACTGACTGAGCATATGCATTTTAAGTGGAAAGGCACTGAGAAAAATCAGGAATTATTCAAGAAGATCATGCTAGCTTTTCCAAACCCCATGATTTCATCAACAAAAAAATGGTTATGTAGAAGACCACCTGCAAAAAAATTCTCTAGTAAAACAAAGAAAGAATGAAACATTAAAAAATATATAAAGAACAGAAAAAGGGTCTGATCCCAATGGAGTTAAAAAAGACAAGCTGTTTTTTTAAACCTGTAAAAAGGCAAAATAGTTTTCTGCCTGTTGATACCCATGATAAAATCATGAATGCCAGTACAAAAAAGGGAGGAAAGGTGGATAAATGTTTTTTCTGTGCCCATCTGAAATGCTGGGTTGTGGGATAGGAATGTTGTTAGCTGTAGCCAAGAGAGATATGCCACAGACACATAGATTTATTACTTGTGGAGACGATGATGATGATGACAATGATTAATTTCTAGCATAAGTGTGAGAATGAGTGACTTTTGAAGTTCTGCTACACAGTTACTGTCATACTGTAGATGTACAGACTAGAGAACAGTAAATGTTCACCAAATGCTGTGGTTAAAATGTTCCAGTTTGAAAAAATTGGTCACTGTTCATAAGGCCCATCAGCTGTGATTTCAGTTTCACTATGCTTTTTTTGTTTTGCTTTATTGGTCTGTGAGAAGTTGGCAGGGAGAAGAAAGGAGTTGACTGCAGCCCCTGGCTCCCATGGTTGACTTTAACCTCCTGAATGGACAACATGGCAGGGCACAGGCAATCCAACAAGTTTCTGAAGACTGGCAAGAACTATTTCCTGACACTGCAGATTCATGAGCCAATTAGGTAAGGTGTGTTGTCGGACCTGCTACTCATTAGCTAACGGGAGGAGATAGCGAAGATAGATTTATACTGCTCACACAGATGCACATAGAATAATAGGCAGAAGACAGAAATTGCAACAAATGAAGTTCTGATGGATATCAGGAAAAATTTTCCTCAGAAAGGTGGCAAAATATTGGCACAGGTTTTTCTGGAGAGGTTTTGATGTCTCTGTTCTTGGAGGTGTTCAAAGCCTGACTGTAGTGAGCAACCTAACCCAGCTGGACCTGTTTTGAGCAGGTTTGGCTTCATGACCTTCAGCAATCTAATCTAAATTATTCCAAGTCAGGGGTTAAACTGATGGTTTTGTTTTTTAAACCTGAAAAACCTACAGAAAGATACAAACTGAATGAAGGAATAATTTTAAAATAGGATATATTATAGCAGTGGAAAGGAACAATGCCATTAACTGTGATTTCTTAAACCTGTAATATCCCACTAGCCTACTTACTATGTTCTCTCTGTAGTGAAGGTAATCAAACACAGGACTAAAATATTGGATGAGACAGCAAACACACTGCTGCTTGAAGTCTTTCAAAATTGGCAAAACCATCCCTCATGTTGCTGTTGGCAGGAAAATAAACCATAGAAACAAAGAATCATTTAGGCTGGAAAAGACTTTTAAGATCATCAGCGGCCGTTAATGTAACACTGCTAACCTTAACATCGTTAAGCCTTGTCCCCAAGTGCCATATCTATACTCATCTTTTCAGTACCTCCAGGGATGGTGACTATCCCTTCTCTGAGGAGCCTGTGCCAATGTCTGACAACCCTTTAGGTGAATTTTTTCCTAATATCCAATCCAAACCTTCACTTGTGCAATATGAGACTTTCCTCTTGTGTCATCACTATTTACTTGGGGGAAGAGACTGACCCTGACCTGTCTCTATCCTTCTTTCAGGCAGTTGTAGAGAGTGATGAGGTCCCCTCTGAGCCTCCTTTTCTCCAGGCTAAACAACCCCAGCTCCCTCAACCCCTCCTCATAGGAAATACATTCCAAACTGTTCTACATTGCCCTTCTCTGGACAGACTCCAGACAGCACTTCAATGTCCTTCCTGAATTGAGGGGCCAAGAACTCGACCAAGATTCAAGGTGTGGCCTCACCAGTGATGAGCATAGAGGGACAATCCCTGCCCTGCTCCTGCTGGCCATGCCATTGCTGACACAGGCCAGGATGCCATTTGCCTTCTTGCCCACCTGGGCACAGCTGGCTCATGTTCAGCCGCTAAGGACCAGCACACCCAGGTTGTTTTCTGCCGGGCATCTTCCAGCCACTCTGCCCCCAGCCTGTAGCACTGCCTGGGGTTGTTGTGACCCAAGTGCAGGACCCAGCACTCAGCCTTGTTGAACCTCATCCAATTGGCCTCAGCCCACTGATGAACAATCTGGTTTTGGTTTCACTGTGTCTGTGTTCAGTACATCCGTACCTGGGCTTCCTCTTTCATTCCCCCTGTTCACCCCCTGCTCTTATGACCATTGCAGGAAATAGACTGTATAGCACTCAAAATGCTGAATTTGACACTTTGCATATTTACCTATTTTGCTAAAAAAAGCTGCAATCCAGCATGGTAGTATGAGATGCATTGCTGTCAACCCTCCACAAACCATCTGAAGAGAAAGTTGAATAAAAGGTTCTTATTAAACATATTAGTCATAACCTTGTAGGTGTGGTTGCTTTCTTACTATCCAGAGGGTCTATGCTTTTACACTACTGTGATGGGGCCCGTTTGACCTCTTTTCTAGGCAGGGAAGTCAAAGTAACCTAGCTGACCTTAAATACAAATTTATATGGCATTTGGGGTACCTACGTACTTGAATTAGTAACACATGTATGTTAAACTAATGACTTTGGATTTTAAGTGGCACACTAAATATGGGGTCATAATTACCTAGGAACATGGGAGAAAATTCAGGCACCCTGGAATCTTCGTGAGATGTCATTCAAGGAATTTGAAGTCAAGCTCTGAGCATGGTGACAGGTCTCCTGGTTTGAAGAGGCAAACATTTATGTCCTGCCAAAAGTACCCAAGGCTTTCTGAGTAGATGGATGTTTTAAGTGTACTGTTGGCTCTCCAGACCTTGCTGTCATTGAAATTTCCTTGTTTCAACTTCAGATTCATAAAGCCACACAGCAAACTAACCCATAGCACTGATGTTTTTCTGGACTCCTGGGTTACTTGATAGTAGCTTACATGGTGGTTTTCTAGTCATATCAGTCAGATATGTTTGAGTAAAAACACTCCCTTAGATTTAAAATAAAAAATAATCGCCTATCTTTTCTCAGGAGAAACAGGACTGTGGACAGAAATCATTAGCATATATGGCAAAACCCAGCAGGTCAAGCTTTGTTATTTATCAAACTGTATTAGCTAAAGAAACTTTCTTTGGTGAGGATTTTCTTACATTATGAAACTGAACCAGACTGAATTTGTGGTTTAGGTGCAAAGTGTCTGAGGCCCATTAAGTACATTGCAACCACTTCAGATAGTCAAAACCTTCTGGTTTTTGTTGATCAGTCTGCCTTTGATATAGAAATAAATGCAAAACTGATTTGGAGTTGTCTCTCCATTTCATAAGAACCCAAAGCTTAAGAGAATATTTGTATCAGTATAGATCTGCTCAAACTCAGGGGTCTGAAAAAATTAGCCAAAACATTTTCTGAGAAGACCTATTCCTTGTCTCTTAGATTTCCAGTATTTTGAGCTTTTTATCCACTTGTTCAAGAAAATAACCTTAACCATGCAAGAATGTAAGACCTTATATTTTTTCCTAAGGCCTGTGACTTGTATGCTTGCTATATTATACTGCCATGGTTTCTCAAGGAGCAACATAATAGTTTCCAGCAGAGAAAGTCTAACTTAGCTGAAATTGGGAATTGGGAAAACTAAGCTGTACATCATTTCTCTGAATGAGATGAATGTGTTCTGAATGCCTTCTTAAGCTTCCTTGAAAATCTTATGGACAGCTCAGATCAATATGATTTAAAGTGCAGTCAGGGCAGATGAAGAGTGTGTGTTACCTTCCATGTCAATGACCAGCTGGAGAGCATGGAGCTCTGCCTGGGAATAGATGAAGTGCCAACTCAGAGCTTATGGGCCAGGATTAAAAGGAGGGCAGAGGTCACATTGTAGTAGGGGTCTTCTACAGGCCACCTGACCAGGAAAACTAAGTGGATGAGTCCCTCTAAAGACAGATATGAGCAGCCTCACTTTTACAGGTCCTGGTCTTTGTGGGAGACTTCAACCACCCCTTCAACCACTTTTGGAGGGACAATACATCAGGGCATAAGCAATTCAGGAGGCTTCTGGAATGCATTGATAATAGCTTCTTTTCCAAGTGATAGAGGAGCCAACAAGGAAAGGTGCTATACTGAAACTTTGTTCTTACCAATAAGAGGGGCTGGTGGGGAATGGGATGTTCAAGGACAACTTTGGGTGCAGTGACCATGAAATGGTGGAATCCAAGATCATTAGGGCAGCAAGGAGAGTGAACAGCATCATTACTCTGGGCTTTGGGAGAGTAGACTTAGGCCTCTTTAGGGAACAACTTGGAAGATTACCATGGAATCCCTTGGAGGGAACTGGGACCCAAGAATGCTGGTTGATACTCAAGGACCACCTCCTCCAAGGTCAGGAGAGATGCATCCCATCAAGGAATAGGTAAAAAAAAAACACCAGGAGGTCTGCATGGATGAACAAGAAGCTCCTGGACAAACTCATGCAAAAAAAAGAAAGCCTAGAGAGAGTGAAAGGAAGGATGTGCAGCCTGGGGGAATACAGATAAATTGTCTGAGCAGGCAAAGATCATGTTAAGAAAACTAAAGCCCTGACATAATTGGATCAAGGAAGAGAAACTGATGTCACCTACCTGAACTTGTACAAAGAAACAGACACTGTCCTGTATGAGATCCTTGTCTCTAAATTGGAGAAACACAGATTTAATGGATGGACCACCCAGTGGATAAGGAGTTGTCTGCTTCTTCATACTTAAAGAATTGCAGTCAGTGGCTTGACGTCTAAGCAGAGAGCAGTGACAAGTGGCATTCCTCAGGGATCAGTATTGGGAATGGCTTTAAACAGAAAAACAGTAGGTTTAAATTAGGTATCAGGAGGAAATTCTTCTCTATGAAGATGATGAGGTATTGAAACAGGTTTCCTGGGTGAATGGTAGGTCCCCCATCCCCTAAGTGTTTGAGGCCCTGAGCAACATGGTCTAATGAAAGGTGTCCTTGCTTATGGGAGAGGGGATGGAACTAGATGATCTTTAAGGTCTCTTCCCATCCAAACCATCCTATGATCCTCTGAGTCTGTGATAAAGCTAAAGATTTGCATTTGCATGATCCAAAATGGAAAAATGAGCCATAGGTCATAAGCTCAAGGTCTTAATACATGAGATTTTTTAGTTTGATAAGAAAGATTGTGACATTTTCAGAAGAACTAGGCAAAAGTGAGATTGAATGGATGGAGAATCAATGGTTGTTCAACAACAAAAGAACACAGAGATTTTGGTTACTGCATCTTTCTCGAGCTGATGGTTTAATTCCTGCATTTCACAACAATTGCTTGAAGTGCTAGTGAAAGAGTGGCATTTTTAGAACACTAATTCCCACCTGCCTGGGTTTTTTCACTGAACTTTGCTGACAAATGTTTGCAATGAACTTTAGGAGCAATTTTATGTGAAACATTACACTGAAATATCTTGAAAAAAACCCAAAGGATTGACTCGTTTTCTCTCTTACTCCTTTTCATTGCCTCTTGTTTCTCTTCATGTTTAGATGTGTGGCCACTGGATAATTTTCAAAGGCTCCTGGGCTCTGACCTTTGGCTCAGACTCCCACTGATGATGGAGGGCTCAAAGGAAGAATACCAACATCTTTGTCTTCTCACAGAGAGTGAGATTCAGCAAATGGAAGAGGAACACGATATTTCTGGAGTTTGTCAATAAACCTCTAGGTGAAACAAAAGAATTATGTTTGCACTGCAGGTCAGATCTGCTGAGAAATGCCCTCAAACATCAGTACAATGGAGAAATGTATTCAAGAACATTTCATCCTTGTGAAAATATTACCCTGTTACAACAGCCAAGGTCACTGAGACCCAGAGTGATATTCTGGTCACAAAAGTTAAAGATGCCTGGCGGCTACCATAATTAAATTATTAGTGTTAGGAGAATAGGGAAAGCAGTTTTCCCACAAATATTTATTTGAATTTAAAAGTGACTTTAGACATGACTTTGGTCAGAAATCCTCTGTGTTCTGGTTGTTGTTTTTTTCTCCTCGAAAACATTCAGACACTGAAGCTGGATGGGAGCACCCAGGCCATCCCAGTTTCCACAGCCTTCAGCTTCAGCCCAGCTGAAGAACAAAAGCAATAATCTCAGGTCTGCATCGAACACAGTGAGCCTTTTGGATGTTTGCAACTATCAATTTGCATCTCATGAACAAAATCCAGGCAATTATCTAGGTTAGTTAACAGAAAGATAAGAAATGTTCAATTCCCACCAGGGCACATCTGTAGGCAAACCACCAACATAAAGGAATATTAACATTAAGATAAACTACCTTGATAATCATTAGCTACTTGTTTTCATCTTTAAAATCTTTAAAAATCTTTAAATTTTGTATTGCCTGCCCATTTGGAAATATTCATTTGTTTGATCTAATTTCTGCTTTTTGGATTTTGGTTAATTTTCTTTTTTTTTTTCCCTCCTGAAATGCTGAAGAAGCAATTTCATAGGCAAGTACACACAATATCCAAAAACCTACTATCTCAAGGCCTCAGCACAAAGTGGAAAATACGTCTTGGACTACTCTTTTTTTTTTTGTGGTTCGAATTACATGAAAATGTACAACACTGAGTACGAGGGAAATCATGAGTTTACCACAAAACACTGTGCACACACTTGTGTAAAACTGAAGTACAAGAGGTGGTAAAATGATAGGTATAGTATAGCATATACTACAATGCTGTGCTTTGGAAAACCATGCTAGGTGTTTAACAGTTTTCAATTGTTGTTTACAATGCAGCTAAACAAAAGTAAAAAAACCCCAAAACCCAAATAAACCAACAATAAATGGCAAAAACCCTCCAGCTGTGTCTCATGTGGTATTTTAACACACACTATGTAAAGAAAATTCAGCATCTTGAAGTAAATTTAACCTGCAGCTAGCTGAGGGATTAAACATGACTATTCTCAACTTGAATGACCCTTTCCCCTAAGTCAAGCTGCCCATTTAGCGCCCTTAATAAATACAGGGATAATTTAAACCATGTGGCCGCAAATTGAAAACATGGGCTTTTGAACTATGTATTTTCTTTCTCATGTTGGAACTCCTCCCTAGAGATAGACTCAAGTCCCATGATCTTGTAAAAGACAAATCTGTGTATCTTTTTTATTAAGTGTTTCATGATATATATTTTTTCAGCTCTGTTGCAGTGGATGCATCTGAAAGATGTATTCCATTGACAGTACACAATACCTCAAAGGCTCTTGGTTCATTTATCAACTCAAACTAATAAAAGGAGGATAATATTTCTATGCAAAAGAATGGGTTTTAAAAGCAGCTTGACAGCTTGGTAGAATACATCAATTAAGCGTGGAGAGAAATTGAAGGAAAAATGGGGATCTTACTTTCTTTGCTAGCATTAGAATTAATAAAAAATAGTTAATTTGTCCTTCAACAGGAAAGAAATAGAGTTCATTCCCAGCTTGCATACCTTGTGGTTTGAGCTGAAGAATGTTACACTCTAGTCTATATTCAACTACTGGTTTAAATTATAGCCTTTAGAAAATAATCTATCATTCACTTTAATTAATATCAACAATCACAGAGTCAGTTGGAAAAAAACCCCACACAACAGAAAATGCTAATGCAAAATCTAAAAAGTTTCTGTCCATTTTTTTTTGTTCATAAAAAACATCAAAGAGTCTCATCTATTGGCAGCTTTGGTGCTCTGTAACCTTAGGCTTCTTTCATGTTGATCCAAGGAAGGTTCACAACCAGTTTTTTTTTAGTCGGTGGCCCATGAGACACATCTGGCCCCATCATTTCGTCTGTGGTCAGAAGAGACACAAAGTGCTCTGCTAGACTGTTTTACCACAAACTCTTTTTAGTACCTTATTCCCCTGAGACAAATCCTTGGGCCTGCCTTTCCTACCACTGTTTGGAGATTCATCCCTGTGGAAAAAGTAGTGGCTGAAGTTCCCCTCCAGCACTGGGCCAGAGAAGTCAGCTTTCAGGATTTGGTCTCAGATCCTGTTGGGTGCCTTTTCCAGGCCTTTTCCTGTTAAAATTGTTGACTTCAAGACACAGGATCATCTCCTACAAGTGGAATATTCTTTTCCTCATCTGAAAGGTCCAGATGTCACTGAAAACAGGGTGGTAGGAAACATAAAAAGCAAAAGAAGATGTTTTCTTCTGCAGATCTTATGTGCAAGCACTTGAATGCAGCTGAAAGGTTCAACATGACATAGAAAAGAACAAATGTGCCCTCTGAGGATTCAGTGGGCAGGTTTGTGAATCTCCAGCTGAGAGTGTGTGTTGTGTTTGAGTGCTAGGCTGGTGCCAGGGATCATTTGTATTACTTAGAAACTTGTCTTCATATTCTCAGCTTGGAATCTGTATGAAGCCCTTGGGTCAACAATACATCTCTTCTACCAATGATTTGCTGGAACAAACTGAGAAAAATTAGGGCACAGTATACCAAGAACTTGTGGTAAATGATTTGGTTTGACTCATAAGGTAAAGAAATTGTGAAGACAACATTTTATGAGCTATATTCCACCTGAGCAGCAGCATTCATTTCTGTTTTATTATTCCACCACACTACCAGCAGCTATATAAAGCTTCTCTTCAAAACACAACTCTGCAGCATAGTTTACTGAAACGTAGCCCGTTTATGGTAATTGGCCACAATGAAAATGATTTTTTGCAAGTATTATTCTATCTCTTAACAATACACTGACTATATGGTGACTATACAGTCATGTCAATACTGTGTCCCATGCCCCCTATCACTGAAAGAGTTGTTCACAGCATATTTCTTGCATTTCTTTGTTTCTTCTTTTTCCTGAGGGTATAGGATGAGAAAGGAGAAGTATGCATCTTCAGATCTTAAAAAGAATTTCTGCAGGATCTGATGCCTGCAGTTCCCAGCTCTGTGATGCCCCTAGGCCCTGCAGAATGGTAACAGTCCTGTTCCCTCTTGGGAAGATAACAACTGCAGTGTCCAGTATTGCTTGTCTGGGTTACTGTGTAGAGCCACAAGTTCAGTGAGAAATCTGCTCTTAGTGTATACTCATCTTTCTAGATTTGCTTTTTTGAGTTTTTAGAGGCTGGTGGAGTAGAGGTTGACTGAGTTTCCTAAGTAATCTGTTTTTTCAGAAGATTCAAAAATGATAGCTGACAATTTTGCAGCCCAGGAACTTCGTTCCTACATTTTCATTTTTTTCTTCATGGTTTATTGTTTAAATTTTATGATTGTACAGTCATTACAATAATTTTTGTGAACATTCCTTTCTTTCTGCATTGCCCTCTAATCTCATTCTCAATGCCAATAGACTGCAGTTTTCCTCAAGAAGAAAAGTAGAAGAGGTAAATGCATGAGGTAGCTCAGTCCTACAATCCATAGTTTCATACTTTTATGTCTCTAGCAGAAGAGTGGCCCCATGCAGTTTGCTGGCAACTGGAATCTCTGCTCAAGTGTCAGAATTACATCATCTCCGTGGCATCAGGAAAACTTTGGAATATGATAGCAAGGGACAGGAAGGTTGTCTTACCTCTGTCTGAAGGGCTGCCAAATGAAAAAAAAACAAACAGTGATGCATACTCTTACATTACACATATAATACAGATTATTCTAGTTCAGTACTTTGCTGAATGAGGTCCTTTCTGAACTTCTACAATTGCAGGTTTTCTGTGGGTGCTTTCTCTTGGCCTTGTCTCTGCATTTGTCTTTCTTACACTTCAGTCCTGCTTATGTACTTGAGGAATACCTAATGTTAACAAATAAAAAGGGAGATGTTGATGGCTGCAGCTGATTGAGCATCATCTGCTAGTTACTGAAGATTAAGTTACTATTTCTAGCAAATACTCCAACTTTGAAATGGAGGTTTGTCTTGATTTAGTTTATTCCTTATGGTATCAAAATGTGGTGACAGCTTTAAAAAGAAAAATAACATAGTGCTTCAGGGAGCAAAACCAGAGTACAGCATTTTTAATGGTTTTAATTATATTACAGCACTGTTGGTCTCTTTTTTTTAAGTATTCACTCCTCATATTTTTCTTTTGTTAGTAGCCAGTTGACAAGGGGAAGCTCTTATTCCCTCTTCATATTATTATGTTCAGCTTTTTTAATTCCAGTTGGAAACATTTTGTTTATCAGAACTATATGAAGAGTTGTTAAGTGGATCTTCATTAGCTTCAGATTTTGAAAGACCCCTTTGGTTAAAGCAAAGCACATCACTCCTCCTTTTCTATGCTCCCACATTGATTGTCCTGGTAGAAACTTTTTGCCTGTATGCAGGGGAGAGAGATGACATCAAGATTCATGCAAGGAAACCCTGTGGAGTGAAACATTTCTGTTTATGAGTGGTGATAACAACGAAATAGTTGAGCAACAGCCAGAGCAGCCATACATGCATGGTCTGCATTGCTGCCTTCAGGGCTTACACGAGACCTTCCAGTGTCAATGCCTCTACAAGAACTCTTCTACCCTGACCACATTTGGGACAGGTGGTGTCTGCTTGCCTGAGACCCCACCATAAATACAAGGCATGGGGAAGTGGTTTAGACAGGGCCCTGTTTGGGATGAAGGGTCCACTTACATGAATTTGTGCACGGGGTTATTCCTTGAAAGGAGAGCAGTGGTATAAAAATCACATCTTCAAGGGAACATTGTGAGCCTATATGAAACTTCCAGCCAGCTCCTGTTGGAACCTTCAAAAGGTCATCTGATGCTGCAGCCTTCAGAAACCTGCCATGAGCTTCAGGCCCAAGGAAACCTTCAGTACAGCTGCCAGTCCTGACAATTTATCTGTGGCAGAGAATTGATAGGAAGAGTAGCTTAGTTTTTTCACCTGATTTTGGGTGAGATCAAGCTAGAACCAATGAAACCAAAGGATGGGGAGAATTAGTTTGGACTTTGCCAGGGAACTCGATTATTTTGCCACCTCTAGCATGAAAAATTATTCTGTGGCTGATATACTGCCAAGAAAATGCCAAATGCAAGTTATGCATCAGGATTTCTAGGCCAGGTCTTTAAATGTTACCCATCTCTCTCATGAGAGACCTTTATTTTACACATTTACTAGAGTTGAATGCTTTAAAGGTAAAAGAAATGAACAGTCAATTGCAGGAATAGGGAAAAAAGGTAAAATAAAAAAGCTTAATATTTACAGCTGCTAAATCTATCCTTTTTTATACCTCTATTCCCTCAGACTATTTTCTGGTTTGGAACTCAATAGTCATAGGTGATTTTAAAATCTTCTTTAAGAAGTTTAATCCTCAAGGTTGTAACAACATACAGCAGATTCATACAAGGACAGTAAAATCCATGGGGTAGACTGCCAGGAAACTGGAGACATGTCATCACTGAAAGTTGTCATCATTGACCTGACAGATTTTAGGGGATTTTCTTCTTTCAGTTGAACTTTCCCTAGTGCAAGGAAACAGACTGGATTATCTCTTGAGATCCACCCTATCCCTCCACTCTGTGATCTTATCTTGGATTTCCTAGTGGCTTTGTTATTGTTTTCTGCTGTGCCAAGTAACGTAGCAACCTTTGTAAAATTAAGCTTCTATTTTAATAAACAGACACCCTTATGGGAACCCCAAAGACAGTAACAAGAGGTTTAAAAAACATAACATAAAAAGAAAGGTTGAGAGAATGGGGTTTGTTTTTCTGGAGGAGAAGAGACAAAGGGGGATGTGATACATTTTCCAGAATGCAAAGTCTGCTACAAAGAGATCAGTGAATAAAATGGTCCCCTGTAGCTGTCAGGAAAAGGTCAACAGGAATTTAGCTTAATTTGCAGCAAAG